AAAATAAAATGAAGCTTAACTGTTTTAGAGCTATACAAATAAAATGGATTGAGGAAACTTCTAATAAGAGTCGAAGTAGAAGAAAAAGGGAAGGTCCTTTCCAAAAAACAATGGCTCAGAAGAATAGTGGGCCCATAATCCAGGGATTGCTGGATAGATAGAAACTCTCCTCTGCTAAATTTAAGCCACAGAGTTAGAAAATCCAGGTATACTACCCTTTCCGTCATTAACTGTGTGATCTTGGTCAAGTCACAAATTCATGGAGTCTCAGCTTCCACAAGTGTACAATTTATGGATGGGGATGAGTTCGAATTAAATGGTTTCTGTGGCCTTTTCCACCTCTAAACTTCAACAGTGGAAACACTGGTAATGTAGTCAGCGCAGCTACACAATAGTGTTTTGAATCTAGTCTTAGTTCAGTGAAGGATTTTCCTGGTATTTTTCACCTCACACATGATGAATCACAAATCTTTCCTTAGCCCCAAACCTGGGCCCTTAGAAATAGGATGGTTTATAGAAGCAGCCAGCCATAACGTACCCTATCATTTCAGATGGAATGAAGTAAGCAAACATTTACTTCCTGTTTAATTCTATCTTAATGAAGAAATGGTAAATCTCTGGACAGGAAGACTAAAGGACTACTTTGAACTTCTGACCACTAGCAAATAGGAATGCACAAGAATGAAAAAGGGATTTCTCTGACTTGGATGGAACAAGACTAAGAACAAGTAGCTATTTGATGTGGAGTATATTTTTCTTAATAGACTGTAACATCTATCAGGTATTTACAAAGGCAAAGCCAGGTTAAAACAAAACAGAAAGGTATCGATCCACATGCCCGTGATTCACAAATAGATTATCTCTAGCTGCTGCTCTTCTCCTCATCTCCAGACACAAGTTTCCAACCACCTACCATATACATTTGCCTGGAAGTCCCAAAGGCACCTCACAGGCCACACATTCAAAGCCAAACTCATTGCTTCCTTTCAACCTACATTCCCAATGACAGTTAATGACCTTACTATTCACCCAGTCACCCAAGCTAGTAACCTTAGCATAATTTTTTACACTTTCCTCGCATTCATTATATCTAATCAAATACCAAATCTGCCCCCCCCCCAAAAAAAATTCTCAAATAAAGATCTTCAGGCTTCTCCCTGAGGCCAGTGACTTAGATCAGGCCCTTGTTATTTTTTATTTGGTCGCTAATGATTCTTTTGTGAACTGCCTGTTCTCATTCTTTACCCCTTTTCCTTTTTACCCATCAGAACATTTTGAAATATATTTGCATGAGATAGAAAATAAAGATTTTTTTAAAACTCTAGAAAGCAATTTTCTTCACATCCTGACTGGATTACTTATTCATGTAAAGCTTTCATGTTTGTTCTTTCTACAGAACGTCAAACATCAGGAAAAGTGAAAATTTATTCAAGTTTGGAGCTTGCCACATATGGATGTTTGACATTTATTAGACAATATGACAAATGAGTGACTTAATTCTTACCTTTCATATGATGTGTGTGTACTGTATAAACATAACCTAAGATATATTCTTTTCATTCTTAAGATGCAGACAATAATGTTTTAAAATCCCCTTTGATAGTCTGGGAAAATGGCCGCGGTAAGGAAGTCACTGAATTAGCTCGCGCAAACCAC